GAAGGCATGAACGCATGCTCCTGTGTTCATGCTTTGAAGGCCAGGGACAAGTCCCTGAAGTGAAAGAACTATATTTTTGATTTTTCACAGATAAGAAATTACCAGCATTAAACATTTTGTATTCAGTAAAATAATCTTGATGATGTAACGTTCCATTATCCTGCATTATACTCTGTATTATGCCTTATTATTCTGCATTACAATCTGTATTACTGTCTTATTATTTTAAATGGTAAGATATACATGGGCGGCTGTTTAGAGGACTGGGGACTCAGACTACTGACCGACTGACCTACTTAATTTTTCTTTTTCTTTCATTTACCTAGCCTTATATACTACAATACACTATAACTAAGTTCGAGTTATAGTTTTAGCTGTTATAGATGCACAACTCTATCTGCTGCAAAAATTATTGTAATATAGAAAAAATAAATGCTCCGATCTGCAACCACTAATAAGTAACTTGTCTCAGCAGTAATATTACTTTTCAAGGTATAGTGGAGGATGTTAGTTTTTCTGGGTGGATCATCAAAATAAGTGGTCCTCCTAAAAGTCAATCATTCTGGTAATATGTTTACGTAAGGCCGTCCTCATTTTACCTTACCGGTGCTGAGTCTGACATAGTGGGAAAATGCAAATCTTCTTTTAGAAAGTAAGCTTATATGAGTGATGCAAACAGCAACTTTTAAACAGAGTGTGCACGAGGAGAAACGGGCTTGTATATGCTCTTGCACGCTTTAACAGGCATTCCCTCTTGGGAGCGGGTACAGGGTTGTGCATTTGCATTTTCTTTTTAAAGTGGAGAGCGCAGATCTTTTCAAAAATTCACGGAAATCCTCCACTCTATCTTGAAAGCAGAATTGCATCAAAATTCAAAAAGAAGTCTTTGAAAACAAGGAAAAGGACCTAAATTTTAGAGCTTTCTGTTAAGGTCCTTTTGAGGCGGTGTCATAAGGGAGAGGTCATCCCCCCTTTTTGTGTTGTTTGTATGGGTACATAATGGGCATAACTTCAAGGGACTAGCTCAGTAGGTGGGATGGGAATGCACCCTTCTTCCCTTGATATGTCTGAGTTCTAACTCAGACTGGTGTCTGTCTGTTTTGTTTACGGCTTTGGACTGTCTTTCCTGCTTAGCGGGGTGCAGCGTCTGGGTCGCCAAGGGACTTGGATTCCAGGCTTGGCTTGCATTGCGGGAGATCATGGTCTACCTTTTTCTTTCTGTTGTGGGGTACAAAGTTTATGCTGCTGTGAAACTCCAAGTGACAAACTCACTCAAAAACAACCACTTCACAGATACAAACAAATATGCTCATCCACCCACCTGCATATACAATAATCTAAATGCACCAAAAACACAGATATATTCCAACTGTTTAACGGTCATACGGACACTTTTAACCTTCTAGGCATTGTCTCAGCCATTGCCAGCCTCCAAGGCTTAGTCTCTGCTACTGATGGCCTCCAGACTGCCTTTGTCGCTGCCAGAACTCTGTTGCTGCAGCTGGCTGTAGACCTCTTTCTCCGCCATAGACTTCCAGGCTCTTTTTGGCGCTGGCCTCCTGAACCTCTTGTTTCTGTTGCCCTCTTGGACTTTATTAGTGGGTTGCTGTTCTTTCCCTGTTTGGCTCCATCTGCCAAAATAAGTTTTTTTTTGTTTTGGTCCTGGTTGCAATATTGGGTCGCCTTTAGTTTTGTTGGTCATGGACACTTAAGATATCTGATAACAGCCCTCAAGGAGGAGGTTCTGTTATGATTTTTAAGCGATTGGGTTCTGATTTAACCTTTATGTTTATTTTTGGACGATTTGTTGTTTATTCCACTTAGGTTTTGTTTTATCAAGTTCTTTCATTAGGCCTGAGGCCTGGAAGAGAAGCACAGGGAAGGCCTATTGCATCTGTATTGTTTATTTTTTTCTTTATAGTTAGCCTTGTAGGATTAACAATTTTTTAGAAACTTTTTGCTGCATCTAGTCATGTAGAGGTCGCCAGAGTGGTGAACAACCATATACAGTCATGTAGGTTCTGCTAACCTCTGCCACCTCTTATTTTTTATTAATTTTCCATTGGTTGCCCCACTGGAGTCTCCTTTTTGCCTGTCTGCCTACCATATGTATTTTCTCTTTTTTTTTTTTTTTTTCTCGGGGCCATTTTTGTAAATTTGTTCTTTTTTAAATCGAACAGTATGTTTTTCACCCTCGTTAGATAGTTAATCTGAACTTTTTAAAACACCTGAAATATGTTAGCTGCTGCTGATATATTAGAGTTGGGAATGACAAGATAAAAACTGTGAGAGGTTTAAAATAACTCTTTGTTCCGTTTAGTTGGATATGCTTTTAGCCAAGTAAAGATTTGTTTACATAACTATTTTGCAAAGTGTTCTTGATATTTCATATTTCTATGTGATTTTTCTCCCAAGCTCAGGTGGACTGTCCACAACAAAGTGAACATATAGATAAGAAGGAAAAATATTTTCTTGCAGTGTCAACATTTGAGTTTAAAGCTCCCAAGTGAGAAGCAATGAAAGACTTGCTTTTGGAGCAGACTAATCCCTTTTATTTATCTTTACCCTCTTTGCCCCTGTTCCCCCCCGTCTGCTTTAGATTCATTCTTCTCTCCACCAATATCTTTCCTCTGCAGAGTTACTGTATTCCAGATCTGGAGGGAAGTTTTTTTTCCTACTTTACACAAATCATTTCCGTCTCATTCTGATTGCTGTCTCTTATTATCTCACCTCTTGTTTTTTCTCCCTCTTCCGGACCTAGACAGCTCTGGTTAGTGTAGCCAAGTCTTATATGAATCAGCACATCCCTCACACTCTTCTGCTCTCTCTGCCTCTATCCCTTCTCTGGTAATCAGAGGTCACATGAGACTCTGCATGCAGTTGGCACTTCAAGGACCTTACTTGAGCTCCAATCCTCTAAAAGTAATGAAATTGGCCCCTTTATAGGCTGCTGACAGATTTTATTCATTTCTCCAAAGTGTTTGGGAATGAGGAAACAGGGGCCATGACTGACACAATGAAGCGTGAAAGAAGAAAGGAGGCATATTTGTTTGTTTGTTTGCTTTTAAGAATCTGCCCTTTTCATGGTGTGAATGCTGATAGTAAATGACCCCATCAGCGCCAACATCAAAATGAAACCCCCAGGGTGACAGCTAGTTCAGAAAAAAAATATTTGTTTCTGAATTGAGAAGTCGGGCAGAGGTCTGTACCTTTAAATGAATATATATCAAAATACAGCATCTTGCAAGAGCGTTCACATACCTTATTACAACCTAAAAACACTGTCTTTATTCTATGCGGCAGACCAAGCCAAAGAAGCACATAATTGTTAATGGAAGCAAAACATCACATAGTTTTTATTACTTCTATTAAATTATAAGTCCACTTTTATTCTGACACTCCAAAATCAAACAGCTTGTGGCCTGATGAGTAAAAAGTCAGCTAACTGCCAAGCAGAGTCCGCATGTGTTTTATTTGGTCTCAGCAACAAATCTAGCTGTTCTACGAACGTTAGGCAACAAACTGTATCTTGAGTAACGAGAAATACAGCAATCGACTAAGGAGAAAGAATTTAGAAATTTTAGAACAATCAGGTTATAAAACTTTATCCACAGCTCTATTTAATTCGTCGTCAAAAATTTAAAGATGGCACTGTTGCAAGCCAAAATCTCTGTAATCAGGACAATGTTCAGTCACACACAAGGAGAAAGTCCTGTTTGCAGTTTGACACAAGCAAAGTGGGGGAGACCTTCTTTGCAGAAAGATGATCTGGTCATATGGGACCTCAAATAAATCTATTGGCAAAAAAGAAAAAAATATGAATAGGGCAGGAACATTAATGTCACCATTGACACACCTTACAATGTCAAACAGTAGGTTCTCAGTGTCATGCTGTGTAGATAGTTTAACAAAGACAGACAAAGTTAATGGGAAGACGAATGGATGAACAGATAAACCCAAAAATATTCTGGAATTTATCTTTTAGTAGCACAGATTGATTAATCTATCAGATCTCTTCAAAGATCTACCCCATCCAATTAAATGTTAGGGTTCAACAATGGTGGTTTTGAAAGGCCTTACTCCAAACAGTCTAGGAAAACTTCTCAATCTAGAAACTTCTGCCATCAAATTAAAGGCACTTTAACCTGTAAGATCATTATGACATAAAATCAAAGTAAACCATTAACAACTATAGTTTTAAACACTTAAAAATTCACAAAAGCAGAATATATATATATATATATATATATATATGTAAAGAAGAAACTTTGCTTACAGTGACGTCTAATGTTTCTACCATGTCTTTTTTGAAATCCTCTGCATCATAGCAGGTATGCAACAACTCACAGAGCACAGCTTTGGGTGGCTCTGTCTCTTGCATTAAACTTCAAAACCATGAGTCAAGCTCTAAACATGCATTATTTACAATCATGATTAGATGTGGCATTGCTCAGTCAAGAGGAAGTGCACCATTTTTTTTCCCCAAAGAGTGAAAGTGAAAACTGGCACAGATTTTACTGACAAGCCGCAAGGTAACGGATCAAAATCTGTTCCTGCTTCAGCCACGACTCTCACTACTAGATTTTTCATAGCAGTCTCTGACACAAGCCAAATTACTCTTATGTGGACAGCACAGACCGCAAGCCTCCTTGTCTTTCTCTCCTTGTCTTATTTTTCTAAACCACTCAAGCAAAAACAACTTGGAAGGACATTCCAAACAATGTTTGAATTTCAAATCAAAAGAGCTGTGGAAGATAAAAGATATCATGCTGATATTTGCTGGATTTCACAGTAACAGAAAGAAGACAGTTTACTGTGTAGATAAAACATCAGAAGATCAAAGCCAGTACACCATGTGTACATGTTGATTGTAATCCAAAAAAAAGAAAAAACTTCAGGCTGCAGCACTAAAGAGCAGTTAGGGAGTCACAATTTACTGTTATAAACAGTTCTTAGATCTGTTAATTGATTAATCTAATTGTTTCAAGGGAAAGGCCTACCTTAAACAGCCTGCTTGCTGCGTCTTTACCACAGGTGACCTGTCTTAATTTACCCAGTCTTGGAAGAGAATGCAAAGACACATCAAACCTCCCCTGGGAGGAATGCCGAAAAGAGGGGGAAAAAAAGTGAAACGGTCAAAAAATGGGAGGGATATGGATGGCTTAGCAGTAGAGACTTCATTCTTCATCAAAGCGTGCTCTGTCCTCAGACGTTCCGCTTACACCTACATTATTTCTATCTTTCCAAAAGCAACAGAAAAAAGGCCATCTGTCTGTTGTTTCTCAACACTGAAAGAGAGCAATGCAACATAAGCTCATCTTCGATAAATTACAACAAGCCTTTTAAAGAGGCTCATTTCTCAGTTTAAACACACCTGAATATAACAACCTTTAAGCAAGTGTTAGACATATTGCTGTAATTAAATACGTGATCAGGATTCTATTCCAAACATGAACACCCACCGAGGAAACAACCACATACATACACGTGTGCTACAGTCTGCCCTTAAATAGAACTTTGTGGCTTGGGTTTATTTTTCATGTGGTGTTAAAAAGGTAACTTTTTAAATCCTACTCCTAATAAATAAGATGTCAAAAATACCCATTATATAAGACCAACAGTTTACATAGATACCAGTGCAGCATATGATATTAACATCTGAATACGTATCTATGTACATAGAGTAGATAGCAATGTCCATTTATATATGCCAATTCATCTGTGCTTTCATGATCTTGGCACTGATTACTGGCTTAATGGTTCACCTATCTAGCTCTGCCTAGTTTCTTATTACTGTTCATCATATCCACCTGCTCCTTCCTCTATTTAAGCCGCTTGCTCCCAGCCATCAGTACCGATTATTCGAGCCTTTGGTGAGAGTTCTCTAGAATACCTTTTTTTGTTGTTATGATTGCCTGGTCCTGACCAGTTGTTCCCTTTGGACCTCTGAGCCAGCTTGTTCCCGTTCTGACCTGTTTGCCTGACCTGTCTTCTTACTCCTGCTGGATTCTGCCTGCTGACATCCCTGGATCTGTTTCCTGACTTCGACTTTTTATTCCCCTACGGTACCTATTCGTATCTCTGATTTTCTGGCCTGGACTCCTGTTCACCTCATCGACACCGGTTTTGGCTTCATTTTCTGGAAACTCCTACCTTCTTTCTTCTGCTTGGATCTGCTCATCAGCCTCCTTCTTGGCTTTGGCTGCTGTAACTTTCTGGGCGAGGTTCGCCGCATACGTGGTTACGAACCTGAGTTTTTTTCCTCTGCTCTAGCTGGTAAGTAGCAAATCTGACATTAAATAAATAAATGCTTTCTTGAATCACATCTGTCTGTCTGCTTGAAATTCTGAATCCACAGTTCTGTAACCATTTTTTTGTGAAGTTTGGAAAGTCTGTTTCTTCTTCAGCTCACTTACTTGTTGAGTTCTTGGGAATCTATCTAGCTTTTTTTTTTCTACTTTCATGTTATCTTTTAGTTTTACTTTTAAGAAACTAAAAAAGTTCTTTAGATCCACCTTCATCTACAAGGGTATCATTTCTATCCCATAGTTCAGAGTCTTACTAAAGTGAAAGCCTGAATCGCCTAAAAAAAAACACTTTCAGTCATAACAAAACTGAAGTAATTCTGTTTATAAAAAGTGATAAAAATTTGAATCTTTTTAAAAGTTTCAGATTAAGTTTGGGAGTTAAATCAGGCTTGAATTTTACCCTTAAACAAATTTATTCTGTTGTGTAACAATTTCTTTTCAACTAAGGTGTTTATCTAATATAATTTATTAGTTATCTTTCAAGTCTTTCAAAGGGTGATCTGTGTTTATATTAGATGACATGATGAGGCCTTTCTTGAACTCTTTCAAGAATGCTCACCTAAAAGAAAAGGCACAGACTCATTCTGTGTACTTGCTTCTCCTCACTGGCTCTTTATTAATGTTAGAGTTATTTCAAAATTATATTGTTTACATAATAATCACTTTTTGATTTTGCATTCGTTTTTCTGTATATATATATATATATATATATATATATATATATATATATATATATATATATATATATATATATATATATATATATATATATATTTATATATATATATATATATATATATATATATATATATATATATATATATATTATTTTTTATTTTTTTTACATTTTATTTAATTGCTTACTGTAATAGTTCAATCTGAAAAACTCACACAGAGAGAAAAGATAATTAGAAGAATTTATTGATAAGAAAGTATAGTCTTTGGCGCTCAGACCTCGGCAGGAACATTCATGCTGAATTATGCTTTAACATGCATGAGTAGATGAATGTGAATAGGGATGTTCCCCCGGGCCTGAAACTGGTGGTGGTTTAATCCGAGCTGGTTGACAAGGTGATCTGCTGGGCAGAATTGTGGGACTAGAAGACTGAGGGAGCTGACGCCGGGGCTTCACTCAGACTCGGGATATAGAGGTCCTGCTCGGTGATGCAGGTACCGTGAAGTGTCCATGATGAGCAAGCATGAAGCGACAGTGGAGAGGAAAAACTCCCCTTTGGGAAGAAACCTCTGGCAGAACCGGGCTCAACATGGTGGTCTTCTGCCGGACCAATGCGATGAGACGAGGGATGGTGACAACTGGGATTAATACTCTCTGATGAGGTTGAGGTGAAGTCGTGTCATGGAGGACGATTCAGCTGCGATGGCGGAGAAGGGGATGGAGGTGGGTGAATTGTCGTCTGGATCGAAATCCGACATTGCGATTGCAGGATAGCGGCTGTGGTGAGATTTGAGGGAGTTTATAAAGTGGAAGCAGGACGCTGATTGGGCTTCGTGGTGGAGTAGTTCAAAGCTGATTGGCTCGCTTCGGAGACGGATCGGCTTCTGATGATGTGAGGTAAGTCAGAGTTTCTTCAATTGAACTTTCGCTAGAGCTTCATTTAATTTAAATAGGCAGTTTTTTTTAATGATCCAAGCACTTCAAGGATAGGACTGTTTACTTTTCCTGAATATAAAGTCTGTTCACTATTTCATCCAATTCAAGATGCATAGATAGTGGAGTGAATCCAGCTTTTTTATTTCATGTATCTTCGTATTGTTTTCACCCTTTTTCACCTTTAATTGTCTTATGCTGCTACTAATTTTCTTTCAACCATTTGTCATCATACCTTGTTTCCATATTCTTGCATCACTGACTGAGGTAAAAACAAAAACCTTTTTTACAGCTGATAGAATTCATCAAGACATGAAAGGCAACTTATATCTAATATTTTAAAAACTTACAATCATGTATTTAGCATGAGTGATAAGTCTCGAGCAAACACTGAGACTTTGCTTGAGATGCAAATCAATATTATTTGCTTAAAAATGGAAGCTTTGGTTAAACATCCATAGTTAAGCAAATAATCTAGTCTCTAACAAAATCCTGGGATGCGACCTATCCATGGTGTCATTTTCTGATCAGTCCATGTAACTGAATGGACAAGTGAAGGACAAACCAAAAGAAAATTTATACAGTAGACTAATTCCATCCTATAATTAAAAAAAAAAAAACAGTGCAAAAATGTAGGAGAGACCAGACACAATATCTGGGAGTATTTTATATTTTCCTGTTCTGAAACAGACACTGGAATAAGTAAGTAAAGTTACATTTGTCAAGAGAGGACAGAGACAGGAATGCACAAAACAAAACATCAATTGTTTTGTTTTGAATGAAATCTGTCCAGACTTTCCAGTCACCCAAGCACATTCATGTAATGTTGTAGATTCCCTTCCCACACTGAGTGAAACGCTTTTCATATTTCAAATATATTCTTTTGACATCTTCACTCCAGTTGCTTTTGATGTCTATATTGTGATATTGCTGCCATTCCCTGCATAAAAGCTTTAAGTTAGATGGCTCTAGGTAATGATGAGCAATGCCCCTATGTGGTTTTTATGCACACTGTGTTTTTGTTTAAATGCAGTTTTCTAAGTGTCAGGGGTCTAATTTATCACATTTCCGTACAAACAAAATGGGACCTGAAACCCATATGTTACTGCCCACACAAATGGGATTTATCAAAAACAAACTTGGCATGAAAACATGTGCTCCCTCACTCCAGCCCTGACCCCTGCGTACGCTGATTTTAGAAGAGAAGGGAAAACAGCGACGCAGATAAAGAACTAAAGCCAGATAAAGTCCTCTCAAATGTTCCAGTAAACTTTTTTTAAACAATAAAAGATCAACCTCATCATAAGCATTCAGTTACTCAGTGTAATTAATGCTCCCACTGGTAAACCATAACTGTACATGAGGACTGTTCAAACAAATAAAATAGGCCTCTGTTTAGCCCAAATCCTTAATTAAAGCATGCGCAATATTTAAAAGTTTTCTCAGCAACTGCTCCTCTACCCATTGATCAACAGGGTGAGTCATAACACAGATCAATACATAAATATATAAAATGTGAGGCATCCACACTTGTTGGTGTAAATGCAGCTCTGATTATTGTGCGTAATGGTGCCTGATGGATGCCACTCTATTGAGAAAGTTGAAAATGGGAGAATTAGGAAGAACAGGTTTTAAGGGATTAGCAAAGTTTCCTTAACCATGGTAATGACTGGTTTATCAGCCAGTCAGACTTCCTGTTGAAATGCTCATAGATCTATGTTCTGAACAGGGTTCAGTATTGAAGAGACCAATCCACTATTTTTCTATATTTTTTTCCCATTTTGTAACATTGCAAAAATAAAGTTTAATGTATCTTACCTTACTTTAGTTACTCAGTGTAATTAATGCTCCCACTGGTAAACCATAACTGTACATGAGGACTGTTCAAACAAATAAAATAGGCCTCTGTTTAGCCCAAATCCTTAATTAAAGCATGCGCAATATTTAAAAGTTTTCTCAGCAACTGCTCCTCTACCCATTGATCAACAGGGTGAGTCATAACACAGATCAATACATAAATATATAAAATGTGAGGCATCCACACTTGTTGGTGTAAATGCAGCTCTGATTATTGTTCGTAATGGTGCCTGATGGATGCCACTCTATTGAGAAAGTTGAAAATGGGAGAATTAGGAAGAACAGGTTTTAAGGGATTAGCAAAGTTTCCTTAACCATGGTA